ACCCCAACCAGTAATCAATCAAGTTTGGCATTAGAGACGAAGGAATGGAAGGAAGCTGCAAGAGAAGAGGAAGAGAAGACCGGGGGGAAAGCAGTAGCAGACAGCAAGCAGACAGCAGCAGCAGGCAGAGACGAAGGAAAGAGAACTAAAAGAGAGAAGCGCATCCCAAAAGTGGAGAAAAGCAGAAGAAGCAGAAGAAGAAGCGGAGTGGAATTTCGAAACACTCGCGGCGCGTGTCAGGGGGTGTATTTTTAGTTCCAAAATATTTATTTTATCACCACTAAATACTAACTAACTAACTAATTAACTAAGTAAATATGATGATTCATTGCTTAGGAAGATTCCATTGTTCGAGTTAGACTTTTTTTTCTATTTTCCTATTTCACTATTTACTTGCTGGATATTCCCTGGGTATATTTTCATCATTCTAAAAAAGGGTAAAATTCCATCCCACTCTCACCAACTACTGCATACAGCATATGCAAGAGTTAATTTAATTTCAACCTGTGCCGCGCCAACTCATCACTTACCATCCATGCGTGCTCCATGTCCTCCCTCACTCCTTCGGCCCCATTCCCAACTCTTCCCTCCTCCACTTACTCACTCACTCACTCACTGCTTCAACTCCTCTTTTCTTTTCTCTCATCATTGGACCACGATGGCAATCCTCCATGCTGAAACACGCCAAGTGGCCTCCCTCCCCCCCCCTCTAACCCCCTCCGCTCCCGTCCACAACCGATTAAGTTGGCCCATCAGACGCTCGGAACCGTTCGCTTTTCGCTGACTGACGGGCCCTCCCTCCCTCTCCGTCTTCCTCGGTCGCGGTCGGACACAATCCTCATTCATTCATTTAGCGAATCACTAGTAGTATCTATTTAAGTATCTACTATCTATGCGGTGGACAGAAGCAAGGCTGACTGTCCCGCTCGTGGGATTCTAGATCCTGCCCATTTCACAACGCCATGACGCATGATCTTCCTTTCCCCCTCTTCTTTGGCGTCTCCAAGGGAGGGGTTCCCGGGAGTCCGTCGAACAGCCACATGGACAATCTAGATTTCTAGCTAAGCTATGGAATGTGGATGGTTGACGTGACAGGGGAATGCGCCCATGCCAACACTATTTACTCTCTGGGCAATTCTTTCATCGCGTGTCTGAATTGCCTCCAATGCTGTCCCTTGCGCGTATGTTTGGTTGAGTCTGTTGTTCTCCTGCAAGGGACCGTCTGCTGCAGACGTTGCACGACACTGCATCTGATTGCAGGACCTCCCATCGGTGACACTCATGGCCCAAGCAACGTCCGAGGTACTTCGTAGCTAGTCTATCTAGGTATGATCACAACAGATCGCCAGCGTCCGGATACCGCAAATCAGCATGCTCCTCCAGGAATGCCATCCATCGCTTAAGGAACCCACTGCCCCTGTGGAGAACAGTCGACGTCAACGATTTGCCTACAAAATAAATGCTGACTACGAGAGGGGCACTCACTTGCTAATCGTCTCCGAGTCACCGCAGATGCACAGATGCCGTTTCGGCCGCGTCATGGCCACTAATGCTGTCAGTCCATGCACCCTCGCCACTTGGCAGGGATCTTACCGTTGAGACGACGCCGTTCCCCGAGGAATCCCACTTCGTGTTCGCTGTTACTGCGCACCAGACTCACCACCACCGCTTCCTTTTCACGCCCTTGGAACCCGTCGACGCTGCCCAGCTCAATGCTGGGGTATTTCTCCCGCAGCATCTGCGACAACACGGCCAGCTGACCATTGTATGGCGTAATCACCGCAATGTCTTCGGGGTGTATCCCTGCGTCCACCAGCGCATCGACGTGCCGGCTCACCACTAGAGCCTCCATGTCGTTGCTCTTACTGTCGCCCAGGTGGGCTTTCTTCCCCAGATCCGCATCCTCCGTCTTTTCAGGGAAATCACCACCTTGCGTATCCCAGAACACCAGCGGCTCTTTAGTGTCATCGGTCTCCTCGACTTCATAGGGTAGGTCCTTCAGCAGTCGAGCCTTGACAGAGTCTGCAGCCATCAATTTCGAGTCATACAACTCGTCCGACGGAAATTGCATTATCTTCTCGTGCATCCGGTATTGCGTCGTGAGCATCCGTTTGATTCCCGGGCCGTGCATCGACAGGAGTCGGTCGAAAAGAGTCGTCTCCAGCGAGACATTGTCCAGCAACTCCCCGTTTTCTTTCTTATCCTCCTCCTTTGCCTTCATCTTCTTGGCATCATCCTTGGTCGACTTGACGGTCGGCGGAAGCTGCAAGTGATCACCAGCCAGGATTACCTTGGATGCCGACAACAGCGGGATCCAGCACTGCGCCTCCAGTGCCTGACTCGCCTCATCGATGATGACCACATCGAACTTTTGGTTCTTCAGCTGATGACCGCCCGCTCCATGCAGCGTCGCCAGCACCACGCTGCTCTCGCGAACCAGGTTCTCCACGCACTTGTTCTCGCGCTCGCGGAACTCGCGCCGCAGTTCTCGCAGATCATCGTAGATGGCCCGTCGCTCCCGTGCTGACCTGGTCTTTCGGATACTCGCCTGCTTCTGGTCGATCTCCTTGCGGACGTCGCGAACAATCTCCGCCGCCTCCGACGTATGCGTCAGCACTTCCAATGAATGATCCAGAACAGACGGCAGCAACCGCGCCGGATGCCCGATGCGCACCACAGGCACCTTCTTCGGCGCCAATCTCTCCACGATGTTGTCGACGGAGATGTTCGACGGACCGCAGACCAGCACCCGCTGCTTGCGCTGCACCATCTGCACGATCAACTCGATCAGCGTGTGCGTCTTGCCAGTACCGGGCGGACCATGGATAAGAGCAATCTCGCGCGCCGCCAGAGCAAACCGAATGGCCTCCTTCTGGGAGTCATTCAGCGTAGGATCCGTAAACTCCAGAGACCCGATAGAATCGTAGTCTGGCACCATAGGCGAGGTCTGACCAAAGGCCACGCGCATGAAATGGGTATGCTCGGAGTCGGTCATTTTGACCATTTTCTCCATGGTCTGGTTCATCCTACACCATCAATAAGTATAGCTTTGTAAAATCAATGAATAGGAAACATACCGTCTATACGTGACATCATTGGCAAGTTTGATCCTATCCCTATTAGCCACCACACACCACTCCACACTTCCATCAACATATCCCAAGAAACAAGAAAGTAGCAAGAAGACGAACTCACATCCAAACCTTCCTCCCCCACAACTCCTCCACCCCATCCTCATCCTTACTCCCTCCCCCTTTCCCACCATCCTTCCCCCCAAACGCAACCCAAACCGCACTCTCCCCAACCCTCGTCACAACCCCTTCCACCCCTCCTCCTTTCCCATCCTTCCCCTCTTTCTCCTTCCCCTTCTTCCCACCACCACCCCCAGAACCAGAACTAGAACCAGAACTAATCTCAACAACCTTAACCACATCCCCAACCCTGACCCCATGCGCACCCAACCTCAACTTCCCATCCCCACCACCACCACCACCATTACCACCCTTAGCACCAGAACCAGAATTAGTAGAAGAAGAAGTATTAGTAACAGCCGCATCGGCAACAAACTCCCCCACCACCCTCCCCCCCAGCCCCGTCCTACATTGCGAGAGAACAATACCCATCAAGGCGTGGCCTGTCGCTTGCAGTGTGCGCCGGGTGGATGGCGACGCGGTGGTGATGGCGCTGCTGGTGAAGAGGTTGTTGGAGGTTATTTCGGCGGTTTGTTCGGCGCGGAGGAGGGTGAGTTGGGTGGTTGCGAAGGTGGGGGGGGATATTTTGGGGGACATTTTGTGTATATGATGGGGTATGTATGTGTGTGTGTATGTGTATGTAGGGGTGGGATTAGGATTAGAATTGGGATTGGGGGAATATTGTATATAGTAATAGTTGGAGAATGTTGATAGCGCGGGGAAAATATTCATCTTAGTTGGGACTTGTGAGGGGTGACTTCTGACTTCATGCGGGTGCGGTGCGGTGCGGTGCTTAGTCATATCTATATATCTCAAGCATGCATGCAGCATGATAACGGATCAACCCTAGCTACTAGCTACTACTTCTAGTGTATGAACACGACCGTATCGATATCACTGGTGAAGGAGGGTGAAAATACGAGGCATTCTCGTATTATTGTATGCTGCAGTTAATCTGCTATGGCCCCGTTTGGTGTCGATTAGTTATTATCTTCAGAAGACAACACGGTGATTTCTCTTCATTCTCTTCTCTAATCTTTCTCTGTCTTCACTGAGTTTATCTTCTGGGTGCATGCTTTTGGTGTTTACTGTTTGCTGGTTACTGTTTATTGTTCAGTTACGTACATCACTCTACTCTACTAATACTACTAAGGGTGGTGGTTGGAGAAGACTATCTATCGGCATACTATTTCTAACTAGGTCACGTCGCTGGTGATGATATCATGCATATGTGGCAGACAGACACGTCAACACTTGGCTATCTCAGGATGATCTTGAGTGGCTCTTGGATGAACGGCAGGCTGATCTGAATCATCTTGATGAAGACAGACTCAACCATCCATATCTTGGGGAGTCAATACCATGAGGTAAGTGTTCGTGTTCTGTGAAAGGGAAACACACGAGAAGAGAAAAAGAAGAGAAGGAACCAAACGAAAATATCACAGGCATCTATCTGCATCAAGCATCGCTATCTGCATTAAGAATCATGATCATAAGAGGTAAGTGTTCGTGTTCTGTGAAGAAAAGACACATGAGAAAGGAAAAAAGGAAAAAGAGCTAACAGCAGAATAGGCATCTATCACCTGCATGAGCGTCGCTATCTGCATGGAGACGGGTTTTCGTGTTTTAACAAAGAAAAGACACAGGAGAAGAAAAGTAGAGAAAAGAAAAGAAAAGCACAACACGCATCTATGTGCATCAACTCGCTATCAGCATCGCAATAACCATCAACCATCAAATCACGAAGATACGTGTTCCTTTACTGCCAGAGACGAGAAAGAATTATGACACGATGGGCATCGCAGCATCTCAAGGAGCCCATCGCCCCATGACAGCCATCACGGCCTGTCTCTCGAACCCGCGGTCATCTCGCAGATACACCCGGTACCCTCGCAGCCCTCTCATGTCGGTAAACGCCATAAGCAGCCGGCGCAAATATCTCTTGCGGTTGTCCATCGTGTACATCGACGTGGCCCGGCCCTGGTCATGGATCTTCAGGGTTAGGCGCGCTAGATCAAAGTGCTCCCGGATGAAACGGCGCAGAACTGCCCAGTGCCGCAAATTCGCGTCCGCGGAACGGGCCCCCGTCTGCGGGGTGGCCCGAAAGCACAAGGGAAAGTGGAAAGTCAAGTTCTGCACCAGAATCGTGGATTCCGTGGGAATGCCACTCAGAAAGCCCATGGTGTAGGTCGGATCCTCCTCCACGAACATAAACTTGTTGCGGCCCCAGAAGACCTGACGAGCGAGCTCATGGAACTCCCGACTAACCAGGAAATAGCGCAATGGCGAGGCGAAGCAGGTGCAGCCCGTCGAAAATACCGTCTCGGTCTTATCACAGAAGCAAATGCCTCCAACCGGCGAGCAGGTGCCACAGCAAGATTTGAAGCGCAGACGGTCGCGGTAATCCAAGACGATCAGGCCCGGAACAGGATCGGCCATGCACGGATCGGACCGACAGATGAGCAGGTGCCCGAGCACCATCAGCTGAAGTTCCCGGGGCAGATACATGAACGGAAACGGCGGCACATCAAGATTGTCCGTCAGGCGGCGCGCCGTGCGCTTCATCGCAGGCAGGAAACTATAGATCTTATCCTGATCATTGCTGAAATAGAAGGCACACTTGAACAGGCTGGGAAACGGATCCATATCACGCATCACACGAACAACCACTTCCTGCTCATAGGCTTTGCATTTGAGGCTGAAGTATCTGAGATTCGGCATGTCGATTGCCGCGAGCTTGCAGAACGCCGCCCACCACGTCAACAATGTTTGGTGGGAACCACCCGCCAGCTTGAGCGTTCGGTTGTCCTTATGACCGAGATCCACATGCAAGTACCGAATATGTTCCATGCCCCATTGCAATGATGCTTCAAAGTTTTTATAGTCGGCCCGGCCGCGAAGAAACATGCTGAAGCGATTATGGGAGAAAAAATAGGCACCGGCCTCCCGGCGCAGGGTGTGACACGACAGGAACACCTGTGTCGGCAGCTTTGGATGGTAGCAGCGGCTGAGCGGAAGCCAAGGGCTGCGATGCGCTCGAAATTCGGTTCTATGACAATAAGGCGGGTCTCGCTTGATGCGGTCCCGCTCCAGGGTAAAGTCGATGATACAAGAACGACGCAGGGCAGCGAAGTCGAAGATTCTATTTCTGATATTTTCTGGCAAATCGAACAGTGTAGGGCCCTTCTTTGAGACCTCCATCCTGACAATTTAAGAAGCAGATCTTCGGCAAGTCCCAGGTGGCGGTATGGTCGATTGAACGGTATCGAAAGCCAGTATTCAACTGTCGTCCTCGATGACACTGATTTCCATACAACCTGCACAAATCGGACTGAGTTAGTAGGTTCGCCGTGTCAGACAATTACCTGATGGATGAACTTACGCTTGACAGCGCGAGTGAGAGCTTAACTCGAGCCGAGCTGGCTGTTAAGCACAGTGATGAAAGTCTCGCCAACGTTATCGAAGATCAACAGAATACAACTTGATAATTTGACGGAAGAGATGTCTGGTTAACACAGGTAAACACACGGTCAACAGAGGAAGAAGGCTGGTCTGGCAAAACAGAGTGGTTGTGTTTCCCCACCAAACAATTGAAACAAAGCATTAAGAGTGACTGACAAGTTGCCTGGGGCATTCAATCCCATGACTGGGTTCAACTTCTACTCCTGCTCGACCTTCACCTTTGGCCCCTCCTGCTTCACAGCGTCTCGCTTTGGTGTTACTAGACCCCTGATTTCGCTCTTACAGAGCTTGGTTCCTGCAAGATCGCATTCGCCACATCTCCGAGCTACAGGTAAGCAGACTGTCTGTCCTAAGCCGACCAGCAGTTTGTTAATCTCGTGCCATTTGTCTTTCGGTAGCCACGATTCCAGCGCCATGCGAGTTTCCTCCGGATTCTTTGTCTTGTGCCAGCCCCAGAGATTGGTAATGCGATGAACGTGAACATCAACGCCAATGCCTTCGTGCTTGCCCCACGCCGCGCTCATACATAGAAACGCCATCTTCGGACCGACGCCGGGGAGCTTCATCAGTTCAGGAGCAGTCGACGGGATATCAGAGTCGTATTGATCGCGGAGGATATTGGCTGCGGCCTTGATATACTTGGTTTTGTTGTTGTGAAAGCCCACCTTGGCGATGAGCTCGTTGAGGCGCTCAGGAGTGACGGCTAGGATGTTCTCCAGATTCAGAGTGCTGTCCTTGACCTGGTCTGTGGGCTTCCAGTCATACTCTTCAGGCTCTTTCTTCACAATGCTCGTCGACTGGTCTCCAAGCTCCGTGTGCAACCGCTGCATGGCTACCGCCGTGACCGTGTCTTTGGTTTGGGATGACAGCATCAGTGCAACGAGCGTCTGGAACCGGCGATCGCGCGGAGAGGACGCACGCCAGTAGAGCTCGGCACATCCCATGGTATCAACGGGTGCGGTGGGATTTGCCTCTCGCATCTTCTTGACCATGTCATACATAGTCTCCCAGTTGGAGGGGGGCTGCATGGCGTAGGCGCCACTCTCGGTTTTGATCTTGCGTGCGGGTGTCCGTCGTGCTTTTGAGGGCTTCTCAGCGGGCTCTTTCTTGACAGGTGCTTCTTCGACAGCAGTCTCTGTTTTGACAATAGTCTCTTCCTTTACAGAAATCTCTTCTTTGACTGAAGTCTCCGTCTTGACAATCCTCCGGCTAGAGCGCGCATTCGCCCTGGTAGACGTGGCGCTCAACGCACTCTTGCGACGCTTGGCCGGCGGCTCCATGATATCCTCGATATCAACCGTCGGCACAGACGAGAGCGACGAAGTATCATCATCACTGACAGATACATCCGGGGCAGTAGCACCCCCAAAAGCAAAGCCCTGAAGGCGACTAGCAGCCTGAGCAGAACTGCGAGTTGTTCGTCGAGCAGGAGGCGACAAAGCCTGCAGCACCTTGGCAGTTTCTTTAGAAGCTCTAGAAGTGCGCATATTGATACTAGCCTAGCTCTAGCTTCAATAAAATGTACTCGGTGTCGTATAAACAAACTTCACATGAAATTAAAGCATGTAGTAAATCCGAGATCGACTGAAATTAGGCTCAACAAGGGGCGAGCGACTCAGTGACGGCGGATTACACATGGGGGTTCGGAAGCCGAGACCGACCGGAAAGCCAATCAACCAGTGGCCGAGACCCACGGCAGTTCTGAGCCTCGGCGCGACACGAGCACAGCACCGCACCGCACCCGCACCAGCCACCGCGACATCCATCATCCACCTTATCTATCTCCATTCATTCAACCAAACTATCAATCATTCCTATCAATTCACCCCTCCTCCACATACCAACCTACACACATTTCCCCCAACGGGAAAAGAAAGAGGAACAGAAAATGGCCTCCTCACAAACAACGCACCGCCTCCTCCGCGAACTAAAAGACTACACGAACTCGCCCAACGAAGCCCTCCTACACCTCGGTCCCGTCGACGAAGATGACCTCCTCCACTGGGAAGCAGTATTAAAAGGTGTTCCGGGGACGCCTTATGAGAGTATACCTATTCCCCCCCACATTCCTCTATACTCTACAACACCCCCCACCAACTAACATCATCAAAAATGAAAACAGACGGTTTATGGACCCTCTCCATCCAAATCCCCCCAACCTACCCCCTCACACCACCGAAAATCACCTTCAAGACGAGAATCAGCCATCCGAATATCAGCTTCACCACGGGCGAGATCTGTCTGACGTTGTTGACCACGGAGCATTGGAGTCCTGTGTATACCTTGAGTAGTACGTTGAGTGCGATTCATCAGTTGTTGTCCGATCCGAGACCGGATTCGCCGCTTAATGTTGATGTCGCCGCGTTGTTGAGGGATGGGGATGTGGCTGCTTGGGAGAGTTTGGTGAGGTTTTGGACTGAGGAGGAGAGAGCTACTTTATAATTATAATTTATTGCGGAGCGCGGTAGCGCGGAGGGATTGGGGTGTGAAGGGTGGGATATATATATATATACGATGAGGTTGGGGTGGTAGTGGATTATGTGTTGATAACTGTAGTTAAATACCCAGGAGTACGATATGATACGATTATTTAAGTTCAGTCAAGTTTCACTTGGTTCAGTTGGTTCAGTTGGTTCAGTTGGTTCAGTTGGTTCAGTTGGTTCAGTTGGTTCAGTTGGTTGTAAATACACCAGTCAGAGTGACAATTCTAATATGCACACGCTGGAAACATAGTATGTATGTAGTTGTAAATTTGGACAGGGTCATAAAGAGAGACATGTCATCATGAAAAACAAATTCCTTTTCAACACCATTTGTGAATAAGTTGCAACCATTTATGCAGCGCTTTCAAGGAGAGACTGGTATTTGGACGCCGGAGAAATATGCACATGCTAGCTTGTTTGCTTGCTCAAGGATCGTGAGGTATCATAAAACATTTTCGAAATGTGAGAATAAAATTTAACGCCGAATATGCACTTGAATGGTAGAGTATTGTTGTCACAGGCTGAGAGAGGCTACAATGCCATGGCCACCACGGCAGCTCCTCCCATCATGAGAGCGAACTCGCGCGCGAATCCATTGGCAGAGGCAGCAGAGTCGGTCTGCAGTCCCGGGGATGCCTTGGTGCCGGTGGCCACCTCGCGGGCGGTTTCGGTGGGATGCACGACTGTCACGGCTGTCACGGTGCTCTGCTGACCGTCGGGCAGAGTGGTAGTGATCTTGTAGGTGGAGGTGTACGGGGTGGTGGGCTGGCTGGTCGTGCTGCTCGTGCTAGTCGTATCCTGCGATGTGGAGCTCGTGGTGTGCATGGTGGTCGACCTTGCGGTGGATGAGGTCGAGCTGGAAGTGGAAGTGGACGAGGTCGACGAGGTGGTGGTGGCAGGCACGCTGGTGGTAGAAGATGCTGTCCGAGTGTGAGAGGAGGACGAAGAAGAAGAAGAAGTGGATGAAGAGGTAGAGGCAGAGGTAGTAGAAGACGAGGAGGATGAAGAAGAGGACGCAGTAGACGAAGTCGATGAGGTCGAAGAGGTCGACGTCGACGACGAAGAAGAAGAGGAGGAGGAGGTGGTGGTGACAGGAGACGTGGACGAGGAGCTAGACTCACTGCTACTAGAGCTCGACTCACTGCTGCTAGAGCTGGATTCACTGCTGCTAGAGCTAGATGTAGTCTGCACGGCGGTTGTATGCGCGGTGGTGGCGGCGGCGGTGGTGGCAGCAGAGGTGGGTTCGGCCGAGGTCGAGTCAGCGCTGCTGGCAGAGGTCTCCGCTTGAGTAGTGGCCGCAGCAGTCGCCGAAGTCGTGGCAGGTTCCGTCGCCTGGCTGGTTTCTGCAGCGCTCGTCGAATTGCTCACACCCTGTCGCTTGGCGAGGTTGGCCCGGCTGGACCGTGCAGCATCCTCCTCCACAGTCTGGGCGTTGTCATCTGCGGAATGAAAAACTCCGTGACGGAACTTTTCATACAGATGCAGGGCCTTGTCCTCGAAGCTACTGAGATAGCCGTGGGAAGTCGAGTCGACCACCGAGTTGGCGGCATCAGACTGATCGGCAGTCGGGGCCGCGATAGCAGCGCAGGCGATCAACGACAGCAGCAGGAAGTGAAGCAAGCGAGTGAGGAACGCCATGGCGCAGGATCGATGTAATTGAGTTGGATGATAAGATTCAGGGGAAGAGGGTAATCCGACGATGGATGAAACGGAGTTGACTATAGTTCGATCCGACGCCGAATTGGGTAACGGAGGACTGAGTCGAGATGATGGCAGCGAAAGAGGAATAGGAAGATGAGCGATGGCGGGTTGGCAGATAATAAAGCTGGGCGCTAGCGAGAGGAAGGCTGTGAGGTGTCTCACCCAGAGTCTTCAGATGACACAGTGAATTGGGGTTGAAGACAAGCCACACCGGAAGGATGAGGGAGTAAGAAGACAAGAGTTGGTTGCCTGGCAGTGGATGGACTGATAAATACTAGTCAACGGGGACAAATGACTGGGCAGAAAAAACAAGGCAGGCCTGGTTCGGCTTGGCAGGTCCGAAGTGGAGCTTCGAGAAAATCCAGTCGGTCGAGATGGACAGGAATAGTATCGGAGACACGTTAGTTAACGATGCTACTAGTTTAGTCTTTCTCAAGTACGGAGTATTCCTAGCACACATTGTGGCACTGCACTGCCCATCCTACCACCACTCGGTACTAGTACGACTTGACTACTTTCTAGTATACAACGATACTCACTATTTGCAGGTACGGATAACCGGAGTTTGAACTGTCTTGGATGAATGGCCCTGAACCTTGGGGACCACTTCTTTGGCTCATCCCAGATGGGGAGGGCAGCAAGCGACGGAGGTCCCAACTAAGGTATTGTCAACGTCAGCATCAGAGTCCAGCCATTGCGCCAATTCCCTTCTAGAATAGCGCTGGATGAATGCGGTACCCCAATTGTCTAGGCTTTTAGGGTCTGCAGTCGACACATACTTGATAGATAATAAATAGATAGATAACTGAGTATTAAAAAAGTGAAGGGAGTGAGGGGTATCGTCCCTACCCGCGACCGGAAATGTCAATCCGCCGGTCAACCTGTCTCAAATGTTTCACATTTTTTTACACCCCAAGAAAATTCTATAAAGTAAAAAGGAAAAACGGCGGGAACGTCCCGACTGAAAACCCCCGAAAAAGGAAGGCAATCTGAATCAATGACGACACCATGAAATCAGTGACTTTCTTCTTTTCTTTCCAACTTTACTCTTTTCTGGTGAGAAGAAATTGTGATAGGCGCAACTACTGTGAGTTTATAATGGGAGCACATGGAACTTACCGACGATCTATCTATAGCTTGATCAGAGTTAATTACTATGTATTTACTTGGTTAGTAGTTGTACGACATGGTCTGTTCTTCCCTCCGTCACTGTGACTATTGGCAACCATTGTTTGAGTGGACTCTCCCTTTCGTCAGGGGAAGATAGTTCAATCCTACGGTTCCTGGATCCCCTACTTCTCACGAAACAATAAGAAAAAATAATTCCCCCCTTCTTCAACAGCCAGAACCATGATACATACTCAGTCTATCCCAATTACCGATCGCAGACACTTCCACCATCGGTATGTAAATCCCCTCCCGTCTACCCTGTCAAAACCATCATTCCGGACTCCCGAGCAAAAAAACTAGCAAGAAACCTCTCCGCATCCGGTCAAGTGTCGGCGAGGGGGGCTTAGCTCCGATTAGGTCCCACGCTAAACCACACAGAGCCTAGTGTCCACCGGATCGGGGATCTGCTAGGCTATTCTTGGCTCTGTAGCTGAAGTGGTGCCACTATCACCACATTTTATTGGTTCACAGCTTGGGAATGAGGCTTGCACTAGTCTGTCCCTGGATTAGTGCTTTTGATCCTGGTAGCTCATCTTGCTTCTTTCCTTCAGGCAGCGTTTAGGTAGATGAATGGGTGGTGGCTTTGCCTCGTTGTTCCGCGGGTGGCCTAAGACAATATCTTATAATAAAATCGTAGGCACTGATTGTGAATACGAGTAGGAGTCGCTCCAACGCAGTCAGCCACGGCTTATAATACTCCCGTATCTATACGACGTGGCATCAGCACTGTGTTAATTACATTTACGGTAGCTGGTATCTATTGGCTACTATATTTATCCACGCCTTGCAGCCGGCAGCAGCAGCAGCACAGCGGACAGCCAAATATATCTTCCGGTCGGGTTAGACTGTCTCACTTTTACAGGATGATTAGCAAATCGTACTCTACATGAACCGTGTCACATGTGATAGTCTAGTCTAGATTTGCTGGATAGTATGTCGCCGCTCTTACTGCACCACCTATATTCCAATATTGACGGGACATATTATCTTGTACTTTCTACATCTTCTATACCTCAGCGTCTGATTTTTCAAGAACTACCCTGCAATCCGAAAAGCTTATACCCCCAGTGCAAACAAGTACCCGAAGGTATCATCTCCCCGCATGAATCCACTCACACACCGCATCAGACAATGACAGCGGCCATGGGCGTTTCAGAATCGCCCCAAGGCTTGATGTGGAATCCACTTAGTTCCTTTTTCTGACAAGTCCGTTATCATATGGGTGCATCGCAATTGCATATCCACTGTCCAGACGCTACCAAGCCGAACCTTCTGTTCCTATTCCAGCCTATTCTATCAGTATAATCCTACTAACATACAGCCCGCACGTGAATTTATCGTACCGATACCTTAAAAATCCACGGCAAGGACAATACATGTTGTCAGACCTATTCCGTCGCTCCGCACCAAACCGGTCCTGTTCAAATTGACGCATTTCATGCGACCCGTTCAGACACATGATTCCTCGCGCCTTGCAGTCATCGCAAATGGCAAACTGATAATTGTTGCATGTCGAACAACGATAATATGCCCCATCACCGTCTATATAGATCTGCCAGACATCGCAAGCCATTCCTCCTTGGTAGCCATCCATACGGAGGATAGATTCGGGAAGACTAGAGATCTTGTCGGAGCACTGCGACAGTATCCCCAGAATGTCATGAAAATACTTCGCTCTCTGATCTTCCGAGAACGCACTTCTTCCACAGTCGTCCAGTGCATCTTGATCGATCCTCAGCGATTCGAGTAACGCTGCTATCACCCTGACCTTTCCATGTACCGTGGCGCTCATCAGAGGTGTGCATCGGTACCTGTCTTTCGCGTTTGGATCGCATCCTGCTTTCAAGAGAGCCTGTACCGATGCTGCTGAGCCGCTGTTTATAGCCCAAAACAACGGCACTCGGCTATGGTGACTTCCGTAGTAATAACCTTACCACGGCGTTTGTATCTCCAGTCCCGTTCGTAATCACTGCGCCATGGCTTCGTGTTACCCTTTCACGGAGCCCGGAGGTACAAGCCCTCAGCGCCCAAAGAAGTGGAGATTCATCGGACTGGTCAAGACATTCTATACTTGCGCCTTTGGCGAGAAGCATCTTCACGATGGGCTCAAATCCTTTCCCAGCAGCCCACATTCTCGGTCTCTCACCGTATTCGTCCTCAAGGTCAGCCTCCGCACCGTGAGATAGCAGAACACCAAACATCCCACTGTGCAACAATCCCCAAACTCAACCCAAACATGTCCACCGCCTACTTTCAAGCCCGCATCCATCACCAATTATCCCCCCCTCTCCGCAAGCCCTGAAAAGCCCCGTCTCGCCCTATCGCCCTGCGACAAGGCTGTGTCACCAACACCAAAACCACCCTCATTTTTTTCCCTCCCCACGGCGACGCCTCCCAAGCCGCAACAGCCTACAAAGTCAAAGACCAAGACGAGCAGTATACAACAATGATAGTTGCCGTGAGTCCCGAGACGCCTCGGGGTTGCCTCTCTTTGAGCTTCATAGGAAGATATCACTGAGAAGTACGTGGGTTATAACCCTCTCCGGGAGTGGAGAATCTAGTCTTATACTGGGCTACGGGTTCTCCCAGGTTTGCGCCTGCGTTTGGGGATGGTGATAGAACGGTTGCGGAGGCATGTGGGAGTATTCAGCATAATGATAAATAGGCCCTTACGGTTGGTTCACGGAGGGGGCATCGGCCTGCTTTGGATATTGTAGTTACCTCGGGGTGTATATGGCTTTGGTGAGTTGATGGTGATATATTGACCCTCGTTGCTGATTTTATCAGGTTGTGGCTATTGCCATTATTGCCTCGGATCGGGTATTTGGATCTGGTTCTGGCTGAGGAGCGCAGTAGGTCTGTCTAGATGTTCAAAACATAACATAGATGTAATTCTTCAAATGGATCAATAGTTTTATGACTCTGAAGACTATCCTGGTTCATGAAAATAGATCTTAGGCAATCGATTAGTTCCCTGTTAGTAGTCTGAAAGCCACTCTCTTTGGATGAAACACACTTCGCATGTACCATAGAATCCAGTAATCAACAGTTCACTCCCCATATATGGCAACCGTAACTAGAAGGGCCTGGGTGGCTGCGCGTGATCGTCTTCCTGGAGTTGACTTATTCCATTGACGTTTACACGATGTGCAAGTACGTATTCCCCGAGGCCCCGAACCATTCGGGAACAGCTTCAAACCAGGTGCAAGAAAGCTTATTTCCTATTTTGCTACATGCCGCTTTGCCGGGCTCGGAGGTGAACACTCGGGACTCGGAGACCCTCGGGCGGCAAAAGTTCCGGGAGCATTGATCAAAAGTGAATGGAAAAGGATAAACAGGGATTGATATATGAACGGTGTAATGTATGAAAAAGTGACTTAATATTTCTTCTGGAGGCAAAGGGTTAGATAAAAAGGTATTTACATGTTCTCACAATGTCACACCTTCCTTCATCGTATCTTTCCTGCTCATACTTCATAAAGGGATATCTCCCAGAAACCACCATGTCCACGACTACAAAATGCACCACCGATCTATTTCAGGATGAGGTCGCCTCTCATCATCATTTGACCTTCAGTGTAATTCCACCGAACTCGAAATGTCGATCACCCTTCGAATATCCCAAAGAGGAACCATATTCAACCAAACGCCAGTGTACCACGAACTCCACCTCTCTTCCAAAAGTCAAATGTATCGTGCAAGCACGCATACCAACCAGTTTTGGCGCAGAGCTGCGGCTGCACGTTTACAAGAATAATGTTGACGACAAGTCACACCTGGCATATGTATTCGGAGACCACATTCAGAGCCGAAGCTTGAATCGAGCGAACAAAGACGAGACACAACTGGACCGAATGATTCGAGGAGCATATAAAGGACGATTATGGCCCGGGCAGACCACCACAGGTGATTCGCGGTTGAGCCATGAAGACACACCTTCTTCGAAGATGAATCCAACATTAGTTCGCGTTCATTCGGAATGCTATACCGGCGAGACTACCTGGTCGGCCAGATGTGACTGTGGAAATCAACTAGAGGCAGCAGCACGTATGATGGCCACATCAAAGAGTGGGGTGATTGTGTATCTCCGGCAGGAGGGTCGTAACATTGGGCTCGCAGATAAGCTCAGGGCATACAATCTTCAGGATATGGGCCTTGATACGGTCGACGCAAATCTTGCCCTTGGGCGTCCAGCAGATGCTCGGTCGTATGGGATAGCGACCGCCATTCTGATGGATCTTGGTCTGGGGAATGATTCAGGCAGTTCTGGCATCCGCTTGTTGACGAATAATCCGGATAAGCTTGGGGAGATCGAAGGTCCCCATGGGGAACTTACGGTGAAAGAGAGGGTACCGATAATTCCATTGCCGGCAGATTCATCGAGAGGATGGGAGTCCAACAGCATTGAGCTTCATAACTATCTACAAACCAAGGTACTACATGAGTTGACTCGCAGATCTGAATTTTTATACTGACAACGATTAGGCAGACAGGATGGGGCATCTCCTGTGAAGAGATAAAGAGTCTGAACAATGAACCTGAAGAGTTCTCGTGTCGAATAGTTATATTGGAAAGGGAACCGGATGATGTTTCTAGGACTAGACTAGATTCTTTGTAACAATACTTAATAGATCATACATAAGAGATTGCATGTGATAGATATGCAGAGATTCGAAAGAATTGATGTTTGGTTACCTACAGCAACTAACTTGATCACTTGCTAAAAGCTCACATACTTTGTAAGAATACGATTTGCTTTCACCGGTAACTTTGTTAGTGTGTTCTGCTATATAGAAAACACACTAAACATACGGAGAAAACTAGTAGTCCACCATCTTTGTTCAGATGTCAGAGATCTAACATCCTGTGGAATAATGATAAGTATATGGCTTACGAATAGGGCATGGTGAACACAATTAGGAAAAGTAATAATCATTTACTTTAAGCCCATTGGCATTCCTACTGTGCATATCAAACATCCATCCAGAACAAATGATCTTTTGAACGTTCGATTTCCGATATGGATTTCCAAAAGTAAAAATTTTTCCTTCAATCATCGAGCAGTCTGCAAAATATCCACTCTACTATCGACGACTATCATTTCCGTGTTCGATAGTCACGATCAATATGCTTGCGGCATTTTGTGGACAGGAAGCAGAGGTAAGAAAGCATCGAGAGGCGATTTGGGTCGAGATTCAAGATGACCTCGTGACCATAGGAACCGTTCCAGTGCGTCCTCCGATGATCCCACTCAATAGAGACTAATTTCTTCTCGAGAACTCCACTGAGGGAACATAGTACTGCTAGTGAAAGCATATAAAATACGATAGTTAACAGAGACATCGATGGCAAATGATGCGGCCCGAGTCTCCGAGCTCCCGAGATTCCGGGCGAAGCAACGAGCAAGAAGCTCAGCCCGATTGTCACCGGACTGAGTCTAGACAGTGACTTCATCGCATCAAGATGGACATCTCAATGTCCCCAAAATGTGTATATAAAACACCCGCTCTTGTCCCTTCCTAGGTTGCTTTTGGCTTCTACTTCTATCAAGCTTTATTCCACTGACATACCCATATCTCAAGTTATCACTAGTCTCTTACTCCAAATCACTCCTACCATATTCTCAAGATGGTTTCCCAACACGGTGTTCACCATGGTATTCACCACGTCCACGAGACTCCTATCCAGGAGCTACCTCATATGAACTTCCGTTCGTACGTCGAAGCCCTCAAGCAAGACAACGACCTCGTGGAAATCGACCGGGAGATCGATCCGGACCTCGAATGCGGTGCCATCATCCGCAAGGTCTGCGAAACTGATGACAAGGCTCCCCTCTTCAATAACCTCAAGGGAGCTCACAATGGCCTGTGGCGTATTCTCGGTGCTCCCAACTCTCTCCGATCAGGCAAAGACAAGTACGGCCGACTTGCTCGTCATCTGGCCCTCCCCCCGTCTTCCGGCATGAAGGAGATCTTGGATAAGATGCTCTCGGCAAAGAATGCCCCACCAATTCCCCCCAACGTTGTCAAGACTGGAGTGTGCAAGGAAAATGTGCTGAATGAGGGAGAGTTCGATCTCACGAAGCTCCCGGTTCCTCTCCTCCACCAGGCTGATGGCGGAAAGTACATCCAGACTTATGGTATGCATGTTATCTCCTCGCCAGAGAAGGACTGGACCAATTGGTCAATCGCCCGTGCTATGGTTTACGACAAGGACCATCTGGCTGGCTTGGTGATCCCACCCCAGCATGTCTGGCAGATGCAGCAGAAGTGGAAGGCCATTGGCAAGGACGTGCCCTGGGCTCTGTGCTTCGGTGTTCCCCCTGCTGCTATCATGGCCTCTAGCATGCCACTGCCTGACGGCTGTACTGAGGCTGGGTATATTGGCGCTATGACTGGCCACGCGATTGACGTGGTCAAGTGTGAGACGAATGACCTGTACGTTCCAGCTAATGCTGAGATCGTTCTTGAGGGCACTATGTCTATTACGGAGACTGGTCCTGAGGGTCCATTTGGCGAGATGCATGGGTATGATATACACAGCTCCCAATCTACCCTCAATACATACTAACTCTGAATGCCCCTTGATAGTTACGTCTTCCCCGGTGATTCTCACCCTTGCCCTCTTTACAAGGTGAACAAGATCACCTACCGCAATGGTGCTATTCTCCCCGTCTCCAATTGCGGCCGCCTCACCGACGAGACTGTGAGTCAAACTGATCTTGAGAAACCTCTCGATAGCTCCATATACTAACTCAGACTGTCTCCCCATCTAGCATACTATGATCGGACCCCTCGCCGCCGCTGAAATCCACCAACTCTGCAAAGATGCCGGTCTTCCAGTCAAGGAAGCCATGTCCCCCTTCGAATCTCAAGTGACGTGGGTTGTTCTTCAAATCGACGGCGCCAAGCTCCGACAAATGAAGACCACCTCCGAGGAACTCTGTCGAAAGTTCGGTGACTTGATTTTCAACCACAAGGCTGGCTACACCATCCATCGCCTACTCCTTGTCGGTGAGGATATCGATGTGTACAACTGGAAGGATGTGATCTGGGCTTTCTGCACTCGTTGCCGGCCCAGCCTTGATGAGTAC